AATCATAAGATTTCAGAGAACTTTGGACTAAACATTTTTTAAACTTGTCAGAACTAGATTGACATTTGTGAGCAATGAAGATAATGGGGAATGGGAGTATTGTACATTGGAGAAATGTTTCTTGTCACTGTCTTTAACCTGAGCTTTTGTTTACTACTAATATTATTCTTCAGATCAGAGACCAGGTATAATTTGGATTAAGGAAGAGGAAGAACGGAGAAGAAATACTGAGCAATGTTTACATACTGTAAATATGCACTGAGGAGACTTTATATCTTAATAGAGAAAAGTAGGGCCCTGACTTAGAAAAGCACTTAAGTGTGTGCTTTTTGTCAGGGAGTGACAGTCCTACAAAGCCTCTTGACTCATTGACTGAAAGGGGTTTCTGCTCCTACCTACCCCTGAGTGGACTAGAGAATAAGGGGAGGGTTGATTTTTTTTTTTTTTTTTTTTTTTTTTTATTACTTTCTGATTTTTTTAACCCCCGCAGAGTCAAGGTGAACGGTGGGAATATTAAGTCCTGCAAAATTACAAACAGAGAAGCATTCCTCCAAATTAGTAGGAAACCTCTTCCCTCGGCATGCTATGTTTGCGCCTGGGAACAGGAAGTCAGGTATTTAGCTGGGCAGACCAAATCATATACAGAGCTTGTGAAAATAATTATCTCTGCATTTCCAGCTTTTGTTTCACTGCCCTTAAATATGCACTGAAATTTCAGTCTGAAAATTCTGAACCAGAACATGATTTTGCCGGGGAAATTGCGTATAAAACCTAATTAAAAGCATCAACCCACACTTCTCTTTTAAAAGTACATCTACTACCATCATGCCTCTAAATGTAACAGAGCTCAACGAGTCTCTAGCAGCCAAGAAGACACATAATTTAAAGGCTATTTTGGCATTTGATTAAGCACACAGTGATAACTACAAGCCCATGCCCTGCAGGCATGACAAGAGGCAATTATGTTCTGAGGTCAAAAGCGAGGGGGAGAAAAAGCACAAGATTTTGATGACTTACTTAATTTTCCAGCTCCTGAAATTAGCAGAGACAAAGAAGTTCTAAATCGCCCAGATAAAATCCTGTCATTATCTGTTGCCTTTTCACCCTCTGCTCTCACTTTGCTCTGCAGAAGCTCAGGAGGATTATTTTCCACCAAATGGCTGCACTTATAAAACTCAAGTTGGCACACATTTAAATGTTAAAGAATTTGAAAAACACTCTTTTTAAGTTCTGTATTTAGATGGCTGTCTGCACATAGGATCCTGGAAAAAGACACCTGTTTTCCAAAGTAGTGAGCAGCCATCGGCTCCTCTTGACTTCAAGCCAACAATTAGGTCACTTATTTAGGAGATTAAATAAGAAGCTCAGTGAGAGACTGCAAAGATAGGGAGCTGCTCAAAGAAGAGAGAAGTGTATTAATGAATTAATACAATCGTGCTGTGTATTTCACAGATGGGCTTTGATGTATCTTGTTTCATGGCAAAAAGCAAAACATCACTGCTCCTTATAGGAAAACCAGTAAAAATGATTAAGTAAGATTATCATATAGGGACACAACATCAAGAAATGTGTTTACAAGAAGATAAACAGCCAGGCTCTAATCTCACTTTGGAGTATTTGCTGCAGATATCAGGGTAGAAGAAAAAGCCATCCAGAGCGAGTGATTTGGTGGACAATGTCAGGATGGAAAACACGTGCCTATTGCTTTAGTAGAAAGCATGATAGGAGATCATGTTGTATTACACTATTCAGCTACTTCTACAGTTTTTCCAGGGTGTCAAATTGCTCTTATGCTTTATATCCAGAAAATAAATTTAAATGTTGACTCTGATACCATAGGGAGGTGTCTGTAAGTGAAAGCTGTCCTTCTAATGGCAAGCAGGCAAGTGATAAAGAGAGAAGCAAAAAGGTGAATTCCAGGAAACTGAAAACCAAATCTGGAAATGTTTTCACCTGTCCAGAGATTCTTTAGCAGAAACATGAGCTATTACTTTGGGGAAGGGGCGTTCAGTTTTGGTTTGGATTTTTTAGGGTTGGGGGGTACTTTAAACTGACATACATGCAATTTTAGTAGATCAGTGCTGTAGAGTCTCTTGTACAGGAGACATGCCCAAGATGCAAGAAGTGTGCTCTCAGTGTACCATAGAAACATGTTTAACAGCTTTGTCATTTGCTGGTAGCAGTTCCTAACATCTTATTTCCAACAAAATGGAAGCATTAAAGTTAGCTACATATGTACAGTATTGCTTTTTGACAAATACACCAGGTTTGTATGAGTGTATTCTCAGGCAGTTAATTATTGTGATTTTAAGTAGGGTTTTCCTCAGCCATCATGTGTTTAATGTCTTTCTTTGATGATATAGAATAGTTACTGAAAAAAAAAAAAACCAACATAGGAATTAAGAGCAAAAATATATTTTCTGAATTGTGTGGGTCAGAAGTTTGAATTTTGTATTCTGTAGTGGGAACTGTAAAAAGTAAAGTAGTATTGGCAACTGTCTTTGCCCTTTGTATAGCATACATTAACTGTCCAGAGAAAAGGATCCAAATTGACCCCGGGCTGGGCCAAACCATAGCTCCCCACAGTTAATATTGCCTGTAAATCTCATTTTGTCATTTCTTTGACAGTTAATAGGAGTCATCCAAGCACATGGCAGGAGGAGGGAGGGCCCTTGGCCTCAGTGTTCTGCCAAAAGCTGCTAGAAACCTTCTGCCTCCCATGTCACCAATCTGCTCAGATTTAGTACAGAACAGGCTTGAAAAGAGAGCTCACCACAGCTCTTTTCCAAAATGAGAAGCCTGGCATCAGAAGTTTTTTGGTCAGCACTGGCCTGTTGCCATAGCGTATCACAGAGCAGAGCCTGCTGCAGGCTTCTGTGGACAGATCTCTGTAAGTGGACTTAATACCTCTTGATATTGTTTGTAGGGCTGGCTAAAATTGCTGGACTCTGCTGACTCTGTCTTTCTGGCTGGCTTATCTCTTTGATCAAATGTTGTCTCTTAACTTTGTCCCATCCTTCCTCCACTTACCTTGATGTTGATTAGTGACATAAAGACAAGGGTAAGAATGAAGTATTGCATCTTAGAGGTTTGAGGTATTGCATCTTAGAGGTTCGTGCTTGTCCTCCTCATTTCCCTCCTTTTGTAACAGGAGAAGTTGGTTGCAGTAAGAATTTACTGCATTACACAAGTGTATGGTGCAATATGAGCGCAGGGTAAAACTATTTCTCCAATGTCAGGGAAACCAGGGCATCTTACGTGATCCAAACCCTAAAACTATGCCAATTGTAGAAGCTATTATTCAAGAATAAGCTCATGTCTGTCTTGGGAGTTTGGCAATTAGTCCTTAACTGTGGTGCATCAGTAAGGATCTGATATTTGAGTAATCCCTGTAAATTTACAGAAATGGGAATGTTTATCTGTCCAGTAATACGTAAATGAGACAACTGACAAGAATAGAAGGCTTTGTGGAAATTAATATGTTGGATTGCTGCCTGCCAGACAGATAGAACAGCCTTGATATGGTTAAGGGATGTTCTGAGAAACATCAGTATGCTCCTGTTTTCCATAAGCAAACTTGGCATGCATGTACCACATGGAAGTTTTCTGGGAGAAGACAGCAGAACACTGGATGGGATTTTTGTTTTTTGGGGGAGGGTATTTTGGTGTTTTTGTAATGGAGCCCAGGGAAAGTGAGTTGCTGAAAGATTTTTTGGTGTCAGATGGGCCATGGATCTGCTAGAGGGTTAAAGCTTCACTGATTGCTCTGTGACCATCACACAGATACAGGCTTGATTTGTATGTTGAGTTTTGTGGTTGGAGGTAGTACGATGTGTAGCTAGGAGGGCACATCATCCCTGCAGCTGGAAGCCTTTTTGCTGTGGGTGAGTTTTCATTCTTGTGGAATAAGTAAGGAAAAGAGTTGACTTTTGTTTCAGTTTGCGGCTGGTGTGCTAGGCTGGGAAGCAATTGTTTGGTTTCCAGCTTCACCATGGATTTCCCATGAGATCTTCTGGAAGCCTCATAACCCTTCTGCTACTGAGATAAGAAAGACTACTTCATATGGATATTTGGGGATTAATATATTCACTTTCATCAAGCTGTTTAAGATCTTTGGATCAAAGATGCTGTAAAGATGAGAAATACAATTGCTTGTTGTCTAGTGAGTTTATTTACTAATACTTTTAGGGCTTTGTTTTCAAGGCATCTCAAAGTGTGTTTCTTTTTTCTTTTGCAAACTGTAGCCTGGATTTCTTTTAAAACAGGTAAGATTTCTGAGAGCTCTCTAATTTTACAAGTATTTGCCAAGTATTTGACCATCTAGGCAAATCCAACACAAAACTAAGACTGAACTTAAATCACGCAGTGTCCCATAAATTGTCCTTTCCATGGAAAATATCACTGCAGGGCCCAAACTTTGGGAAGATTGCCAGAACCCACAGACCATCCCCCGGCATGCTGCAGGCTACAACAAAAGCCATCAGCCTCTCATTTTCTAAGGACCAAGAAAAGGACCAGGAGCAATACAGATGTTATTACATCTGCTGTAGGACAGGTGCAGTCTTGCTGAGCAGGTGGGATCCTGGTGGTTGGATTGCTCATTGTCATAAAATTTCCTTTGCCTGATCAAGTACAACACAGGGCTGTAATTTTATATATCGAAACCAACTAGCGTTTCACCTGGTAAGTAGAAGTAATAACAGTGCCATAGTTGCTATTTACCTCTTTCAATAGGCGATTTCTAAAGCCCTATATAAAAGGGATCTCTTCAGGGTTTTTTTGAGATGAGAAAATCAAGTCACTGAGTGGAGAAGTAATTTCTCTGGAGAGGCAGCAAGCCAGCGATCGGACCCCGTTTCTACAGACTGTATCTCAATGGTACAGAAACTATCTCAGTGCAGCACATGGATAAAACCTGCTGCTAAACGTCATTCCACTTTTAATCTTAGCCTCAGCATGGAAAGTAAATGTTGACTGTGTTCCTGTGTTAATCCTTGCAGCTTTCAGCCGAGCCCCGGTCCCCATGGCTGTGGTCCGAAGGGAGCTGTCCTGTGAGAGTTACCCCATCGAGCTGCGCTGCCCGGGAACAGATGTTATCATGATCGAAAGTGCCAACTACGGGAGGACTGACGATAAAATCTGTGACTCTGATCCTGCTCAGATGGAGAATATCCGCTGTTATCTGCCAGATGCCTATAAGATTATGACTCAAAGGTATAGTATTTAATATTCTTTGTTTGCTGACTGTTGGTTTTTTAATCTGGAAGGTACACACCAGTTTGTGTGAGTGTGTTTGCATGAGAAAATGCAGGTACTTAGTCTGTATGTATGTGCACAGAATTACAGCTATCGTTGCTAAACTGTGGGTTTAATGGAGTTGGTTTAGCATCATGCAATATAAATGACATTTGCTGTATGTACTACTGATCAGTCAACTTGATTCTCCAGTTTTGCCTCTGAAATACCTAAATATCAAGGCTCTTAATGAGAATAGAAGTGAAATCTTTCTCAAATTAATGTTCACTGGTTTTTGTGCTATGTTCAAACAGAAGGCCAGTAATCTCCTTCAAACAATTAACATTTTGTGTTCAGAATAACATTTACAGTTTTGAAAACACAAAGTGTCTGCTTCATTCCTTGTGTTGCCAGACTTAGTTTTAGGGAGGATCTGAATTTCCAGTCAAGGATTGGTATTCACATTGGTCTCGCAGAAGACTTGCTAAATTTCTGTATAATAACTATAGCTTTTGAGTGTGGCTGCTCCATCTGGAAATGGTAACTGAGATACAAGCCATGTAGACAGGCTCCTGTATTGCAGAGTGTCATGGTTTGGGAGCTTCAAAAATCTAATTCCCTAGTCAAAACCCCCTCCCACATCTCAACCTAGTATAAGATGTGTTTTCCAGACAACCACACGAGACTTAGAATGGGGGAAAGGGAATATATTACAATGGCTGTACACATAAATATTATAATACACAAATATTATAATTACACAAACGATCTCAACTATCTCTACTATGATAGATCAGTATTTACAATGGATCAGATCCCTTCTCACCTCCAAATAAAAGTCCAGGAGGGAAGAAGGAAAGATCCCTTCTTCAGAGCAGCAATATCTCTAAGGCAGCAGGTCTCTCTGTCTCTATGCAGCAGCTGTAACTGGATTGTTGTAGCTGGATCTCTTTTCAATACACACAAGGGGGTCTCCAAGCCCCTTGGCCCATCGTCTCCAAACATGGGTCTTCAAGACACAAGGGGGTCTCCTTTCACCCCTCTCGCCCTTCGACTCCAAGCGAAGGTCTCACCTGTGGACTGCCAGCAGGGACAAAACTCGCTTCACCACAGGCATATCACGAAATGCAGGGGCATCTTTGTGAAAGTCCCTTCCCCAGGGGTTCACCCCTGAGTCAGAACATCTTGGGCACCATTCAATTGAAAGCCTTTGCCTCAAGAGTTCTACTAGAGCTCCTGTGCTCTGTCTCAGGCTGCTAGGCTTGTCAGCAGCAGTGAGGGGGGCCAAGGTCAACCCCCCCGGATTCCTTCTCTGTCCCCGTCCAGCTTCAGGACATCTTTGAGCTTCTCAGCTCCTCTCTCTCTGGTGCTGCAGCACTCCAAGACTCCTCTCCTTAATAGGAGTCCACCTCCCTCCTTTCTCGGAGGTCTCAGAGGGGTGTGGGGTTTTATTCCAGTTCTTACCCCAGCTTCCTCTCTCCCTGCTGCTCTCTCGGCTTTTCTGAGACAACTCGGTGTCTTCCTTACTCAACTGCATGCTGTTTCTGCTGCTTCAGTTATCTCTTGGCTCTTAGCCACAGTCTCTGGACGCTGCGTCTGCCGCTGCTCTGTCTCTGCTCACTCACAGTGGAGAAAACCTTTTTTAGCTTTCTAGCTGCAGATACTTAGCCCAGCCTCACGCTGTTCCAAGTCCCCGGAGCCCCCCCCAGCCAGGGGCTGGGGTGCCCAGAGGCCCCAGGTGACTCCGAGCCACTTTCCTTGTGGCCTTAGAACATGGCTACCACTTCTACCACCAAACTACAACTAACCTTCTCTTCTGTTTGCTTGTTGTATGTTTATATTTCGCAGAAGCGCTCATCGGATAAAACTTCAAAACTTCCAGGGTCACCACCCCCTGGGGTTTTACCATTTTATAACTGCAGGGGGAAAACTGTTTTCCCCCCACCACACAGACCCAGGGCCTATCAGTTTTTTCCGACCTAGAGGTATCCTGGTTATGGAAAGCCTGTAACTGTTGCTGAATTTTTAAGGATATTTTCTGGCACAAGTGGTGTTGTGGGAAGGATTCGTAAGTCACAGCTCTTGACATGTAATTGCATTCAGTAAATTTTTCCTAATACATGAATAATTATTCACCACATTTGACTGTTAATTAGCAATAGAGATGAGTATTTCAAGATATTAATAATGGTATTGACATAGGCAAAGTGTTGCTAATTGACGTCACGACAGCAGTGTTTGTGTAGTGACCTAACGGCTTAAAGCAGTGCAAGGTTTTAATGGAGTATCTCACGATTGTTTGCTGTGAGATGCTCTGCACTAAAAATGGTCTGGGGTGAGCAAAAGAAAAGAAAGCTTGAGTTTCATCTGTGTTTCACATGCTAACTGCTGGTTTTGACCTCCCCGTAGAATTGCTCCATGTCAAGTATTTAGGTCTCAGAATCCTGACCAGTCTCACGTCCCTTTTGCTGAAGGTGGCTCCTATTAGACCATTTGAATTGGACCTCCTTGCATAGCTGGTTGAAGTCTTGTTTATAGATTATGCCAGCTATGTTTTCAAGAGAAGTGGAAAGGGTAACAACGTGGCATCAACCAGTCCCCTGGATTTGGTGTGGTTTTAGTGGAATTACTGTAATTCTCATGTTCAGGTTGTTAGTGGCTTCAAGCAGAAACCCTTAATCCTCTGCATATTGGCAGAATAAAACCATGTCATCCCTTTGTGGGCCGTTACAAAGTATTAATATTTTTATATATATGTATTATTGTCCTCCAGGCACCAGCTTCCGAGCCAAATGCAGAACTCTGCAATCTTCCAGTCAGTCCCCACGCGTAGCAAGTGTGCAATAGACGTTAGCTCTTTGGTCAGGGAGGACACATTATCGTGTTGTGTGCCCAAGGCACTGGGATGAAAACTTATGTTGAGTCCTTTTCTCCAGGTATAATCAGTGCAGACTCAAATGGCTTAGCAGAGAGTTTGACAGGGAAGCACATCTCTGGAGCAAAGCATCTCTGTGTTTCCAAGTGGGCAGAAAGTAGTGTCATAGAAGCTGACCACTGAGGGGAAAACTTCTCAAGCAAATCTTTATTGGACTTAATATCTGTGGGGCCTTGCCTGCTGCCATTTATCAGTAGGGAGGCTCAGGAAAGGGTGATGGCTCTTTCCATTTAAGCCATTTGATGATCAATTTTTATGAATAAGTGTGCAATCCTTTTATTGGGTACTATTGAGTTTCTTGAAAATAAATATAACCTGGTTCTAGTTAAAAGACAAGCTAAAAAGGGGAAAAATACTCTACTTTGCATTTTTATGTTAGTCTCATTTTTTTTAATCTCCATTAATTTAAAGAGTTGAAACAATTTAAAAATAAAACCATTAAAATGAAATATGTTCTTAAGATGCAAACCAGTCTGTCAGCTCACAGCTCCAAGTAGACTTCATAGCTGAGCCTCTGAAAAAAGTAGTTTAAAAGGAAAATTGTGACAGCCTAGTAGTTGTGGCACTAACTATGCCATTTTCTTCTGAAAGCCTCTACCTGCAAAAATTAATCAGTTTAGCAGTATTTGGGTGGGTTTGCAGATTAATGCAGGCTTTAATACAGTGAGCTTGTCTTTGCCAACACTGTGGGATGGGGAAGCAGCTGTGGGAACTGAAGATTGTCATGGCAGTGTAAACCTGCATGGTACCTGAAACTGTGTATGAAAAGAGAAACGATACGTGCAGTGCATGCTTATTACTCATTGATTAATTATTGCATTCGTAAATACAGTCTCCTCGTAGGTTGTATAATAAGTTGCATAACAACTGGCAGTTTTTAATCAGCAACACTGTACAACCGGCTCAGACACATTACAGTGTGGCTGTGGGGAGGCAGAGAGGGAAAGATGGGGGAAAAAAGTATGTATGAGACAGAGGTGGTGTTAGTTTGTGAGCTGACGCTGAGGGAGAGCAGATTTATGGTAGACATTAGTGATTGCACTCTCAGCCCACCCTTCTTCCCCCTGCAAAAAAAAAACAAAAAAAAAACCCACACAAAAAAACCCAACACCCTGAGCTAGCCTGTTCTTTACTTCTGTGTGCTTATTTAAATTAATTTTTGCAGACGACTACATGAGGTTATTTTGAAAGGGAAAGGCATAAATCTTACGGTGTGTTTGTGGAGCCCCCTGAGCAGAGGGAACACAAGGAGTTCTTACTGCAAGCATTGCCCTGAAAATCTCTAAAATCTTTGGAGTATTGCTTAAAGTAAAAGACATTTAAACAGCTTGTAAGGAGCTATTTTATAGAAAATTAAATTGCTGTGGCCTATTTTGGTTTTTTGTTTTTTTTTTTTTTTAACTTGCCAGCTTCTCCTTCAAGCATCCAAGTAAGTGCTGCCCGTAACAGCTCAGAAAGTGTGCTTTATGAACTGAAGTTTTTCTGATTTAATTAGAGAAAAATATATTTTGCAGCATGTTTGCTTTGGAGAAGTGTCTTTTTGAGGGCTGTAACAATTAAATTCTAACCATTCCCATTGCAAACTGTGTACATGGTACCATGGGAGTCTTTGCTATGTCCTCCCTTGAGCAACTGTGCCAGAAAATTATCATATCATCCATTCAAACAACCAAGGTTCTCTGTCAACAATGGAGAAAAGCAGCCTCCTATTCCCGTAAGAGTTACCTTTGTTTTTATAGCATTAACACTGCAGTTTAGTATATTAAAAATGCCCTAAAGAAAAAGGAAAAAAAAATAGCTTTTGGTGCGCTCTCTTGAATTTCTTGTATATGCTTTCCACTAAAGAAATGCCCAGCTCAGAAAGGCAAAATCTGTGTATTACTTTTTGCATCTTAGTAGTTTCACTACAAGTCAGTGGAGCCAATTGCCTTGTAAGAGCACCACACAAATTTAAACCTGCAGTGTGGGCACAGGAGTTAAACATTTAGTTGCCTCCTCCTTAATGCACACAAATACACCAGCACGTTCTTCTTTTTAAGGCATG